TTTATTGATGCAGGTTGTTTAAGGGGGTATTTGAAACATGGACGCATAAAATGGGTATACCAATTTTTCTGGGAAAACCTTTTATTGGCCAACAAAGAGTGAGAAATTTCGTTTTCAATTCAATTGAAGGCAAAATGCAGATTTTGGTACTTATTGCAAATACGAGGATAATTTCACGTAGCTACTTGAAATTGAAAACCCACAGTTTTTGTATTTATCATCTTACGTAGATGCCCATTTCATCAACAGGTTAGATATTTTTTGCACAGTTTTTATTTTTGTATTACGGCAGCATAAGGCGAAGGTAATCTCCCTTTTCGGGAGTGATTTGAAACAGGATGCCCTAAAACAACGTGAATGTTAAATATACAAAAAATCGGGAATTAAGTAATTTAAATTACTATATCTCAAAGTGTGACATACAGAGGTGACAGTAGCCTTGTCAAAGTGGATCTATTATTATTTATTACTTAGAGGAGATACATAGCTGTGACTGTGCTACGGTATCTCATTTCATCCCGGAAAATTTTTCGGACGCATCAATATGGCATTAGGTTAGCCATCTCCAGGTAAAATCCGTTAATTAATATTTATATTTTAACAAACCTATTCATCATTTTATCCTCCTTCCGTTTTTTTAAATAAACGCGTTATATCTTTTATTCTACATAGTCTATTTTCAAAAGTAAATTACAAATCAGAACGTTTTCGCTGAAAATCGGAATGTTGAACACTTCATAATGTATAAGATGCCGGACTTGATAGACTACAATTATGATGCAGATATGCCACAGTGAATGCTTTGATCGTGCAAACAATTTAATAAGCTCGCGCATTTCAGGCGTGTTAGGTAAACATTACCAGTCTCGGATATTATTATCTTCAACTGTGACCGTTAAGTTTGACGATCAACGACCGCTCTTGATATCTTAATAAGTATAAACATTATCTACAACACTTGCGGCTATCCGCAAAGCTATCATCGAACAGCAGACTTCTTGGAAAATATAAGTTATATGTCTCATGATAAGTTTCCCTATAGTTTGCACTGGTTTCAGCGCTACAAGTTGTCGTTCGCGCGTGTACGGAAATGTACAGCAATTTTTCTCCTATCCGACTTTGTAATGACAACTGGTTTTCAAATTACAGTGTCCAACCGAATTTCCGTTAATCCACTTTTAATTATTTTTAAGCAATATTACTATAAACACGGCTGAGTGCAATCGTTGAATTGGTGGTTTCAATATTAATTCTAATAATGATTCAATGGACTAAACGCAAAGTTGTATTTCAAAAGCCAAAATAACTACACAATCTGTTTACCGAGAGTTTGGCGTATGCCGACCAAACTATACTAAGTGACATATAAATCCGAACACCCAGTTTAAATGGTTCTATTTTAATAAAATTTTGTATAAGTACTTAATGAAGCATAATAAGTAAATGATAAAAATTTCAAAATGATTGCACTGCTTTAAAGCCTTTTGACCTTTAATAATGTGTGGATGCACCCTGATGTGCTACGCATTCTCCAACGCGCCTAGGCATGCTTCTGATCAGGTGGTCATTATCCTCCTGTGGTATCTCATTCCAGGCAACCACCAACTCCTCTCGAAGTGCTTCTAGAGTCTGAGGAGGACGTTGCAAATTGAGCAATCTCCTACCCATCATATCCCACACGTGCTCAATTGGGGATAAGTCGGGAGATCTTGGTGGCCATGGTAACAATGTGACATCATTATGTTGAAAGAAGTCTATTGTGACTCTTGCAACATGTGGTCGGGCATTATCTTGTTGGAAAGTTGGATCTGCCAGGGTGTCAAGATAGGGTAAAAGATGGGGTTCTAGAACTTCGTGGATATAACGCTGCGCGTTCATGTTACCTCTGATGAAGATTAAAGGTGACCTGGAACCATAAGCTATAGCACCCCAAACCATAACTCCAACAGTGTCATGAACATGTCTTTCAACAAAAAACTGTGGATTCCTCCTTTCACCACGTCGCCTTCTAACCCTGGCACGACCATCGTGAATGCCTAAACAAAATCGAGACTCGTCACTAAAGACAATACTGTTCCATTCCTGATCCCAGAGTGACCGTTGTCTGCACCACTCAAGGCGATTACGTCGGTGTTCTCGAGTTAAAGGGAGGACCCAGTGTGGCCGGTATGAAAACAAGCCAAAACTTCTCATTCGTCGGTAAACACTTCGCATGCATAGGTCTTCCGTGTTCTGCAAACCATTCATTTGCAATGGACCTGATAGTGGAGAAACGGTCCCTTAAGGCCAATAATCTTAGGCGGCGATCTTCACGGTCTGTTGTTCTACGGCGGCGTCCAGTGCCCCTTGCACTTTGCGTACGGCCTTCTCGAAGCCATGCCTGACAACACCTAACCACAGTGTCTACACTTCTTTGCACTCTAACTGCAATTGCCCGAAAAGAAAGTCCAGCTTCCCGAAGTCCCGCTATACGGCCCCTATCAAACTCACTAAGTTGACGAAATCGTACAGGTCTCCGTACTCTAGGCATCGTAACCGATCGTAAAGGATATCAAGAACCAAAATCCTCCAACGTTGATTCTTTACTGCGGCTGAAATATTCATTTTTAGAGCGTTAGTGAATTAAAAAAAAGCAGTATAAAAACCGGAATGTCCAACTGATAAGGCTGAAAATTTTTTCACTTGTTATTTACAGTAAGATAAATACATTCACCAACTTTTATTAAAATAAAACCATTTAAACTGGGTGTTCGGATTTATATGTCACTTAGTATATAAAAATACCAGACTATCTATGAAGATAAACATGACGTTATCCATATGGACCACAACATTAATCGGTGCCCTTAACTGGAATGTTAGATGCCTAAGTTGTTATGGGGTACACTGCAACAATTGTTTCTTGGTTGTAATTTATTTTCAGCCACGAATCTAACTGAGAGGAAATATGTTTGCGTCCTTATTAGGTCAATACTAATATTAATGACATGTGTCGTGGATGTATTCAGCTCAGAAACATCGATATCTGTTATTGATGTTGGCAACCAGGAAAGATCAAGTCAGAAACTGAGGCCAGCATCATTTATGTTGAGATTGTGTTGTTTAAAACAATTGAAAAAATAACAATATTATTGTACTCGGAACTTTTGCGTGCCCAAAATTATTCATCAACAATGGAAGGCGCTCCTAGAGTCCTAGTCATTATTTAACTTTCATATAACATGGGGGTCAAAACGGCATTTTTTTAGAGAAAAGCGACTTTAAAGTAAAATAAAATCTGACAACGCCGCAATGCCAAAATTGATACTATGCCAACGACCAAAAATCTTTGTAATTAGTTTAAAAGTTTTTGTAAATCGGTCCAGTAGCGGCGTATAAAAAGGCCAAAAACGAAAAAAAAAAATAGCTCAAACTTTGTTTTTTGACGTTTCAGAAGGTCCCGATCGCTTTCATACAAATTTTTGTAGGGGTTGAAATACGGGAGTACGGGTGGAGGAGAGTATATGAAAATGGTTTGATCTTCATACGCTCCCAACTCAGGTGATTCTATACACCTATTCGCCATATTTCAGATATCACAGATTTCCGGGTACTTTTGCTTCTAAAACTGATACAGAAATGTTTTCGATCCGTGAACTCACCGTCCAGTGAGTCGGTCCAGCTGACTAATCTATCCATACTGAAGTGCAAAAACAAATACACGGATCATGCATGAACTGAACGATAAGTCGCAGCAGCGATGCTGCGCAAATTTGAAAAGAAACAACGTTACCAGATGGACGGTAACTACCCGTAGGGTAGAGAAAGAACTAACTGTATGGGCCTGTTTGACTAACTTAATCCATTTAATCTCTCTGATGTAGAGGAAAGTATCCTATTATCGGATGTTTTAGGAAACAAAAAATAGTTAATATCTACCTACAACATATTGGAAATTATTTTCATAATATGTCTTCTTATATAATTTGAAAGCAGATCCCTCTAACACATCATTTTTTTTTCGAAAATTGCAAATAATCATTGGAGTGCAAAAATTACTTTTTTAAAAGTTGGGTTCTGAATATCGGATAGTAGGTATACCTAATATCCCACATGTCCGATATTAGGAACTCAAAGGTTTACGAAAAGGACAAAAGAATTTATTTTCATGTTTTATTAATTTAATACCAAGGAGCAAAATAACTCAACAAAATGAGAAAAATTGGTAATTAATCTCAAAAAATTTCATAAAATGCCAGTTCCCGCGCATTCTTCATGAGATCAACGGAAACATTGATTACACATCCTATCCATTCTTCCCTGTATGATTATAAATAATAAAAATTCTTACACTATAGACACTCAGAGTCTTCCTCATCTCTATCCATATCATCATCACTGTCAATTAATTGCACATCTGTTTCTATACCTTCACTAGAAGAGCTTAGCTATTTTCTGTTTTCCCTTTCATTTAATATTGTCCTTCGGTTTCTTCTTAACCTTATTTTTTTTTAACTGGTTCCTAATATCGGGTATGCGATATTAAGGAACCCAAACTGTCCGATATAACGGCACATAACCTCACTAAATTATTATTTTATTTTACGGAGAAAAAATGCATTTGTCCTATGAATTTAATATTAAATAAAAGTCTGAAATATATTTGATCCCATGGTATATAATAAACAAAAGAACAAATTCACCTTTTGGAAATATAACGTCACTAATTAGGGAGTGTTAAAATATTCACATGTCACAAATATGTACAGCAGCAGAATGGTCCACCCAGCTAAATTGTATGGGTCTTCAATTTTAGCAAAAATGTTCTTAATCATTGTGCTCTTGATTAGCACAAAAGTTCACAGATGACGCTGCATGAGAAAAAAAAATATAGCGATATCCGATATTAGGAACCTATGCGGTATTAGGCTACTTTCCTCTACATGTTCGTAACTGAGTGTTTTCTCAGAGGATTTAAATTGTGCTAGACTTAACCTACTTGACGTATTTTTTTATTGTAGGTAAGCTAGTAGAAACTTGCTCAAAAGACTGTTTGTTCACCGCTGAGTACCACAGTGGCCAGCTTGCTTTGAGAGATCGTAATGGGCAGTACCTTTCACCCATTGGCAGCAAAGCAGTACTGAAGACTCGATCCAATACAGTGACCAAGGACGAGCTGTTTTCACTGGAAGACTCCCTTCCACAGGCTAGCTTTGTCGCAGCACTCAACGCTAGGTTCGTCTCTGTCAAGCAGGGTAAGTTTCTCATGTATTGATTGTCGATTAATTAATTGATACATCATCATTTTATGGCCAAAGATATAGCTATTTTCAGCTATCAATTTTTCATTTCCGATTCGTAATTAAAGGAGATATTGTGAATCAAATATGCTCATTTTTTGCTGTTAGCAATATAGAATCTGTCGACATTTAGTAGGCTATTAGAACTCTTTCAAACTTTATATTTAAATCTTAGTTGACCTGAACTGTAGTCATGATCATTAGCAGCGATATCGATTGGTTCATTCTGATTATATACCAAAACTGTCCCAATTACTTCATAAAATAACTCACTCAAAAGCGTTTCGCCTCTGATATTTGACGACAGAAGGCATTTTGAATGTCACTGAATAATAATAATAATAATACATAATAATAAGTTTATTCACGTAACATACAAATATAACTAAAACAAACATAGATATATGTAAATAAACTGAATTTACCCACAGAAGAATAAATTCTTGTGCATGGGTATTAACTTACATCTTTACATAAATATTTTTACATATATATATATTCATATAAATAAACACAAATAGATGCACACATATATATATATACATATATATACATATATATATATATATATATATATATATATATATACTAAGTGACATATAAATCCGAACACCCACTTTAAATGGTTTTATTTTAATAAAATTTTGTATAAGTACTTAATGAAGCATAATAAGTAAATGATAAAAATTTCAAAATGATTGCTCTGCTTTAAAGCCCTTTGACCTTTAATAATGTGTGGATGCACCCTGATGTGCTACGCATTCTCCAACGCGCCTAGGCATGCTTCTGATCAGGTGGTCAATGTCCTCCTGTGGTATCTCATTCCAGGCAACCACCAACTCCTCTCGAAGTGCTTCTAGAGTCTAAGGAGGACGTTGCAAATTGAGCAATCTCCTACCCATCATATCCCACACGTGCTCAATTGGGGATAAGTCGGGAGATCTTGGTGGCCATGGTAACAATGTGACATCATTATGTTGAAAGAAGTCTATTGTGACTCTTGCAACATGTGGTCGGGCATTATCTTGTTGGAAAGTTGGATCTGCCAGGGTGTCAAGATAGGGTAAAAGATGGGGTTCTAGAACTTCGTGGATATAACGCTGCGCGTTCATGTTGCCTCTGATGAAGATTAAAGGTGACCTGGAACCATAAGCTATAGCACCCCAAACCATAACTCCAACAGTGTGATGAACATGTCTTTCAACAAAAAACTGTGGATTCCTCCTTTCACCACGTCGCCTTCTAACCCTGGCACGACCATCGTGCATGCCTAAACAAAATCGAGACTCGTCACTAAAGACAATACTGTTCCATTCCTGATCCCAGAGTAACCGTTGTCTGCACCACTCAAGGCGATTACGTCGGTGTTCTCGAGTTAAAGGGAGGACCCAGTGTGGCCGGTATGAAAACAAGCCAAAACTTTTCATTCGTCGGTAAACACTTCGCATGCCAATAGGTCTTCCGTGTTCTGCAAACCATTCATTTGGAATGGACCTGGTAGTGGAGAAACGGTCCCTTAAGGCCAATATTCTTAGGCGGCGATCTTCACGGTCTGTTGTTCTACGGCGGCGTCCAGTGCCCCTTGCTCTTTGCGTACGGCCTTCTCGAAGCCATGCCTGACAACACCTAACCACAGTGTCTACACTTCTTTGCACTCTAACTGCAATTGCCCGAAAAGGAAGTCCAGCTTCCCGAAGTCCCACTATACGGCCACTATCAAACTCACTAAGTTGTCGAAATCGTACAGGTCTCCATACTCTAGGCATCGTAACCGATCGTAAAGGATGTCAAAAACCAAAATCCGCCAACGTTGATTCTTTACTGCGGCTGAAATATTCATTTTTAGAGCGTTAGTGAATTAAAAAAAAGCAGTATAAAAACCGGAATGTCCAACTGATTAGGCTGAAAATTTTTTCACTTGTTATTTACAGTAAGATAAATACATTCACCAACTTTTATTAAAATAAAACCATTTAAACTGGGTGTTCGGATTTATATGTCACTTAGTATACATACACACATACACCTGTACATACATATATACACATACACATATACGAGTATATGAATGTTGGAGGGTTTTTACTATTACATTAATTTTAAATTTCTTTCATACGTACCATGTTTGCAATTTGATGTCGATTTTTTTCAATTATAAATTTTTTGGTTTCAATTTTGCATTTTGTTTTATTTGAAATATTTCTTATATAATTTGGCAATATGTTATATAATCTACATTCTACTGGAAAGGTAAGTATGACATCTTTGACCTATACTTTTTGAGGTGAAATGTGTTTGCTTAATGTTGTTGATTTTGTTTCTAGTTTGATATAAGTGATCTAACGGAACAAGATTATTTCTATGGTGAAATTGATAATTTATAATTTAATAAAAAAATGGTTGCCTAGGGTATATATACAGGGTGACTTTGAAGTTGAGTCATTAATTTTCAGATAATGATTGTAGAAGGAGATAAACCAAAATATGTGTGTAAAAATAAAAAAAAAATAAAAAAAATTGTTTACCTTGTTTTATAAAGTATCCTCCCGACAAGTATTTCAGTGCAGACCTGTATTTGATCGTGAGGTCTTGGAGCACCGGCATGCAGTCCCCTGTGTGGTCTTAAGTCACCTGATTCACGAGCCCGTTGTACTACTTTAACAAAGGCACGAGGGGTTGGTTGCACTCGATTGGGAAACCGATCCGCATAAACATGTGCCATTTTTTATTTCGTTTGAGCTACGCAACAGACACCACTATTCAAACGCGTTACCGACTGACAGTGACTGTATACAACTGACTAAAATAATTGTAAAAACATCGTTCCAAATTCTTTCGCTTTTTTGTTTCCGATGCGATGAACCAAACACGAGCACATAATATTATTATTGAGACAGGGCGGTACTCAAACTTCCAAAGGGCTATAACTTTGTTATTTTAATTTTACCAGAAAAATGGTAAAGGAAAAAACATTTCTTTTGATCAGATCTACTCACTGTTAAAATAAATGACTCAACTTCGAAGTCACCCTGTATATACTTCGAAGTTGAGTCATTTATTTTAACAGTGAGTAGATCTGATCAAAATAAATGTTTTTTTCCTTTACCATTTTTCTGGTAAAATTAAAGTAACAAAGTTATAGCCCTTTGGAAGTTTGAGTACCGCCCTGCCTATTATATGCTCGTGTTTGGCGACAACGGATATAATCCGCCTGACCGGTTCATCGCATCGGAAACAAAAAAGCGAAAGAATTTGAAACGTTTATCACGATGTTTTTCGTCAGTCGATAACGCGTAAGTGAATAGTAGTGTGTTGCGTGGTTCAAACGAAATCAAAAATGGCACATGTTTACGAAAATGCTGAACTTGTGGACATGATTCTTATTTACGGGGGGGCAGTCTTTACAAAATGCTCCCGGATGCATCACGGATTTACGCGAATCGGTTTCCCAATCGAGTGCAACCAACCCCTCGTGCCTTTGTTAATGTAGTACAAAGGGCTCGTGAATCAGGTGACTTAAGACCTCACAGGTGAGGGCATGCTGCTCCAAGACCGCACGATCAAATACAGGTCCGCACTGAAGTACTTGTCGGGAGGATACTTTATTAAACAAGGTTACATTTTTTTTTATTTTTTTTTATTTTTACACACATATTTTGGTTTATCTTCCTTCTACAATCATTATCTGAAAATTAATGACTCAACTTCAAAGTCACCCTGTATATAATAGTTTTGCTTCAGAATACAACAGATCAGATGGGTATAAGAGTGGTTTGTCAAAGATTATTTTTAAAAATTGTATTTAGATAATTTCTAGTTTATTAATTTGGTTATTTAGTGCTCCACCCCAACCTAATATTGCGTAACTTATACGACTTTCGATCATAGCGTGTTTTTCTATCCAAATATTTATTTAGATATTTGAATTTAAACAATAATGGTCTCAAATTGGTTGTTACATGATCAATATGTATATTCCAATTTAAATGTGAGTCTAAGTATACACCTAAATATTTTATTTTGTTTGTTAAATTTATTTGAGTATTTATATTATCACAGTTAATCTGTATAGATACAAAGGATGGTAATTTGTTTAACTGTGATTTGTGAATGGCATGAACGTAGTCTTTTGAAAGTTAATAGTTAGGCATTTATGTCTGAACCAGTCTGCAATTATGGTTAAGTCTCTTTCAACCTTCACTTTTAGATCATTCCACGAGTTGTTGTCCGAATAAATGATAGCAGTATCATCTGCAAAACATATGATTTTCCCTTCAGATTTTAAGCTCAGCAGGCTATTAATGAAAAGTGTAAATAATAAGGGGCCTAACACTGTCGCTTGTGGGACACCATACGTTATCAATTTGTTTGTGCTTAAGGGATTATTTATTTGTACGCTCTGTGTTCTATTGGAAAGGTAACTTTTCATGAGGTTATAAGCCTTGCCCCTAATTCCTGAGTCGTGTAAGATTTCTAATAGTAGCAAGTGGTCTACTGTATCGAATGCTTTTGCTAGATCTAAAAACACACAAACTTTGGTCCAGTAATTTGTATAATTTTGATGTCAAAAAAGAAATTGCGTCTTGAGTAGACTTGTTTTCCTGGGATCCAAATTATTTTTCATTAATCAGATTATGTTTATCAAAAAAATTTAGAAGTCGTGTTTTTATAATTTTCTCAATAATATTTGAAAAGCTGGATATTAGAGTTATAGGCCTGTAAATGTTTATTCACCGGATTTGTGGATGGGTTTTACTACTCCTACTTTATAATCATCTAGAAATTCTTCCGATTCAATGATCAAGTTCGCTATGTAGGTCAAGGGCTTACTAATTTTGGATGAAATTTTCTTTAACATTTCTGATCGTATACTATCAAGACCTGGGTTTTTTTATTTCTCAAACTGTGTATGGCATTTTTTATTTCATTTTCAGACGCAGGTTCTAAGAATATCG